TCTTGTGCGCATTTCCTTTATGATTGTATTACGCCACAAAAGTAATTATTATTCTTTATGAACACCAAACTTGGACAAAGGAATCACATTTTTTTTTATTTTTAGAGAAAAACACGAAAAAAGCTGCAGAAAAAGGAATGAAAAGAATGCTCTAACATTTTCGTTCGATTTGTTATGGGCGAAGAGGAAAAGGATGCGGGGCCAAGATTTTCCGGGAGATAAAGCAACAAAGGAACCGGACGATTTTCTCGAACGCTAACCGGAAGTGCTGGTCATTCAATCTTTGATACCCAATTGGTTCCTAAATCGCTCACCAATTCCCCTTTTTTACGTTAAACAAAAATGAAGATGTTATTTATCAAATAAATCATCACCTTTTCAACGAACTAGTCCGCTTTGAAAAATTATTTTTACTTTTTGACATACAAAGCTTTAAACTGAATATAAGATTTTGTTAATTTTAAAGTTATTTAAATAAATTTGTGAAAAATCAATTTTTTAATGTATCCATATGAAATATTCACCAAATCTCAATTAAAGCATCTACCCTTCAACGAATAAATCTGTTTTGAAAAATCATTTTTAGTCTTTGATAACTTTACTCAGAAATAATTTTTTAATTAATCGTGTAAATAATTGACAGCTGTTAGGTTACATTAAATTAAAAAATTCATATCTACAGAACGAAAAGTTGTAGAATTTTGAAATTTTCAACAAAATAAAGAATAATTCTTACTTTATAATTTCAAAAAGTTTCATTTCTTAAATCCAATGACTTTATTCAGAAATTATTTATTAATTAATCATGTAAAAAATTGACAGCTGTTAGGTTAGATTAAATTAAAAAAATCATATCTACAAAACGAATAATTGTAGAATCTTCAGATTTTCAACAAAATAAAGATTAATTCTTACTTTATAATTTCAAAAAGTTTCATTTCTTAAATCCAATGACTTTATTCAGAAATTATTTATTAATTAATCATGTAAAAAATTGACAGCTGTTAGGTTAGATTAAATTAAAAAAATCATATCTACAAAACGAATAATTGTAGAATCTTCAGATTTTCAACAAAATAAAGATTAATTCTTACTTTATAATTTCAAAAAGTTTCATTTCTTAAATCCAATGACTATATTCAGAAATTATTTTTTAATTAATCATGTAAAAAATTGGCAGTTGTTAGGTTAGATTAATTTAAAAAAATCATATCTACTAAACGAAAAGTTGTGGAATCTTTAAATGTTCAACAAAATAAAGATTAATTCTTGCTTTATAATCTCAAAAAGTTTCATTTCTTAAATCCAATAAATTTATTAAGAAATAATTTTTTAATTAATCATGTAAATAATTGCTAGCTGTTAGGTTAGGTAAAATTAAAAAGTTTATATCTACAAAACGAAAAGTTGTAGAGTCTTCAAATTTTCAATAAAATAAAGATTAATTCTTGCTTTATATCCTCAAAAAGTTTCATTTCTTCAATCCAATAACTTTACTCAGAAATAATTTTTTAATTAATCGTGTAAATAATTGACAGCTGTTGGGTTACATTAAATTAAAAAATTCATATCTACAGAACGAAAAGTTGTAGAATCTTCAGATTTTCAACAAAATAAAGATTAATTCTTACTTTATAATTTCAAAAAGTTTCATTTCTTAAATCCAATGACTTTATTCAGAAATTATTTTTTAATTAATCATGTAAAAAATTGGCAGTTGTTAGGTTAGATTAATTTAAAAAAATCATATCTACTAAACGAAAAGTTGTAGAATCTTTAAATGTTCAACAAAATCAAGATTAATTCTTGCTTTATAATCTCAAAAAGTTTCATTTCTTAAATCCAATAAATTTATTAAGATATAATTTTTTAATTAATCATGTAAATAATTGCTAGCTGTTAGGTTAGGTAAAATTAAAAAGTTTATATCTACAAAACAAAAAGTTGTAGAGTCTTCAAATTTTTAATAAAATAAAGATTAATTCTTGCTTTGTATCCTCAAAAAGTTTCATTTCTTCAATCCAATAACTTTACTCAGAAATAATTTTTTAATTAATCGTGTAAATAATTGACAGCTGTTGGGTTACATTAAATTAAAAAATTCATATCTACAGAACGAAAAGTTGTAGAATCTTGAAATTTTCAACAAAATAAAGATTAATTCTTACTTTATAATTTCAAAAAGTTTCATTTCTTAAATCCAATGACTTTATTCAGAAATTATTTTTTAATTAATCATGTAAAAAATTGGCAGTTGTTAGGTTAGATTAATTTAAAAAAATCATATCTACTAAACGAAAAGTTGTGGAATCTTTAAATGTTCAACAAAATAAAGATTAATTCTTGCTTTATAATCCCAAAAAGTTTCATTTCTTAAATCCAATAAATTTATTAAGAAATAATTTTTTAATTAATCATGTAAATAATTGCTAGCTGTTAGGTTAGGTAAAATTAAAACGTTTATATCTACAAAACGAAAAGTTGTAGAATTTTGAAATGTTCAACAAAATCAAGATTAATTCTTGCTTTATAATCTCAAAAAGTTTCATTTCTTAAATCCAATAACTTTATTAAGAAATAATTTTTTAATTAATCATGTAAATAATTGCTAGCTGTTAGGTTACATTAAATTAAAAAATTCATATCTACAGAACGAAAAGTTGTAGAATCTTCAGATTTTCAACAAAATAAAGATTAATTCTTATTTTATAATTTCAAAAAGTTTCATTTCTTAAATCCAATGACTTTATTCAGAAATTATTTTTTAATTAATCATGTAAAAAATTGGCAGTTGTTAGGTTAGATTAATTTAAAAAAATCATATCTACTAAACGAAAAGTTGTAGAATCTTTAAATGTTCAACAAAATAAAAATTAATTCTTGCTTTATAATCTCAAAAAGTTTCATTTCTTAAATCCAATAAATTTATTAAGAAATAATTTTTTAATTAATCATGTAAATAATTGCTAGCTGTTAGGTTAGGTAAAATTAAAAAGTTTATATCTACAAAACGAAAAGTTGTAGAATCTTCAAATTTTCAATAAAATAAAGATTAATTCTTGCTTTATATCCTCAAAAAGTTTCATTTCTTCAATCCAATAACTTTACTCAGAAATAATTTTTTAATTAATCGTGTAAATAATTGACAGCTGTTAGGTTACATTAAATTAAAAAATTCATATCTACAGAACGAAAAGTTGTAGAATTTTGAAATTTTCAACAAAATAAAGAATAATTCTTACTTTATAATTTCAAAAAGTTTCATTTCTTAAATCCAATGACTTTATTCAGAAATTATTTATTAATTAATCATGTAAAAAATTGACAGCTGTTAGGTTAGATTAAATTAAAAAAATCATATCTACAAAACGAATAATTGTAGAATCTTCAGATTTTCAACAAAATAAAGATTAATTCTTACTTTATAATTTCAAAAAGTTTCATTTCTTAAATCCAATGACTATATTCAGAAATTATTTTTTAATTAATCATGTAAAAAATTGACAGCTGTTAGGTTAGATTAAATTAAAAAAATCATATCTACAAAACGAATAATTGTAGAATCTTCAGATTTTCAACAAAATAAAGATTAATTCTTACTTTATAATTTCAAAAAGTTTCATTTCTTAAATCCAATGACTATATTCAGAAATTATTTTTTAATTAATCATGTAAAAAATTGGCAGTTGTTAGGTTAGATTAATTTAAAAAAATCATATCTACTAAACGAAAAGTTGTGGAATCTTTAAATGTTCAACAAAATAAAGATTAATTCTTGCTTTATAATCCCAAAAAGTTTCATTTCTTAAATCCAATAAATTTATTAAGAAATAATTTTTTAATTAATCATGTAAATAATTGCTAGCTGTTAGGTTAGGTAAAATTAAAAAGTTTATATCTACAAAACGAAAAGTTGTAGAATTTTGAAATTTTCAACAAAATAAAGAATAATTCTTACTTTATAATTTCAAAAAGTTTCATTTCTTAAATCCAATGACTTTATTCAGAAATTATTTTTTAATTAATCATGTAAAGAATTGGCAGTTGTTAGGTTAAATTAATTTTAAAAAATCATATCTACTAAACGAAAAGTTGTAGAATCTTTAAATGAAATAATTATTATTTAATTATTATTTTAATGAATTAAAAATTCAATCTTTGATTCCCAATTGGTTCCTAAATCGCTCACCAATTCCCCTTTTTTACGTTAAACAAAAATGAAGATGTTGTTATTTATCAAATAAATCATCACCTTTTCAATGAACTAGTCCGCTTTGAAAAATTATTTTTACTTTTTGACATACAAAGCTTTAAACTGAATATAAAATTTTGTTAATTTTATAGTTATTTAAATAAATTTGTGAAAAATCAATTTTTTAATGTATCCATATGAAATATTCACCAAATCTCAATTAAAGCATCTACCCTTCAACGAATAAGTCTGTTTTGAAAAATCATTTTTAGTCTTTGAGGTGTATAGATTTAACTGTCTGTTTATAACTTGGTTATAAATAACAGCAGCAAATGAAATGTAAATGAAAATCATTTAAAATTTTGTTATTCACTGTTAGTATTTGTAATATAAAACGTTTTTCCATCTAAGGATTAAGATCCATAAAAACAGGAAGTCGTTATATTTTATTTGTTTCAATGACAAATTCATATAGTACATATTTTTATTTTCAAAGAATTTATTACCGGGTGGTCTAGATCTGATGATGAAACGGATGTTATTAAGGATTTTTAATTTTTACAAATAGAACCGAAGGTCAGTCATCATCATGATCGATTGATATCATCATCGCTCCGGATGGATGTATTAATTATTTCCAATCGACCTCGTTGCTTTAAGTGTACCATCAGTAGAACAATTTCGGTACTCTCGAGGTCTTCCCCAATAGTGTACTAATACTCCTCCCACACCGCAACATCTGAAGATGCTTCCACCACAACTTTCACTGTTGATCCACGGCAGGCAATGGTCGGTATAAATACGTTGGTGTTCGCATCTTCACTTTATTCGAAGTGAACAAGTGTTTAAGTCAATATGAAATCGTTAGCGGTAAGGAATACAAAGTTCATTAAAGAAGGTTGTTACAATTTTTTTTTTCGAAATAGGTGTATCTTTTTGTCCTTTCAATTCTTAACGCTTCTAATGGAGAAGGTAATAAATAATAAATTAATCCATTTTGGAATAGTTTTGAATCAATATTTTTATATTTAGCTCCGATAACTGGAAATTATCTTCCTCCTTCATCGGGTGGAGGTGGTCCTTCTTCAACATACGGTGCTCCATCGTTTGGGGGAGGCTCGTTCGGAGGTAGCTCCGGCAGTGGAGGAAGCTTTGGAGGTGGTTATAGAGCTCCATCGCAATCTTATGGAACTCCTTCTCAAAATTATGGAGCTCCAAGTGGTGGATCCCACGGAGGATTTGGTGGAGGCAGTTTCGGAGGTGGAAGTGGTGGAAGTTTCGGTGGTGGTCGCCCAACCACTAATTACTTACCTCCATCGACTTCTTATGGAACTCCATCGAGACCTTCTTCAACTTATGGTGCTCCTTCTGGAGGATTTGGAGGTGGATTTGGTGGTGGAAGACCATCAACTACTTACGGTGCTCCATCTGGTGGATTTGGAGGCGGAAGACCATCGAGTACTTACGGCGCCCCATCTGGTGGATTTGGAGGTGGAAGACCATCGACCACCTACGGAGCCCCCTCTGGTGGATTTGGAGGTGGAAGACCATCCAGCACCTACGGAGCTCCATCTGGTGGATTTGGAGGCGGAAGACCATCAAGCACCTACGGAGCTCCATCTGGTGGATTCGGAGGTGGTAGTTTCGGTGGAGGATTTAAACCATCTACTTCTTATGGAGCACCTTCAGGTATCCAATTTCACACTTTTTTGAGTCTTAAGTTAATTTTTTTGATGTTTAGGTGGAAGACCATCTTCAACTTACGGAGCCCCATCATCTTTTGGCGGTAGCAGTTTCGGTTCTAGCGGTTTCGGCGGATCCGCTCCTTCTCAATCGTACGGCGCTCCATCTCAACAATACGGAGCCCCATCATCCGGCGGCCAACAATACTCCAGCAACGGCGGATACTCGTACTAAATCCGATTATTTTTCTGGACCCAACGCGTACCTGAGACAACAATTTCTTCTTTGTAAATACCGATGTCGAAATCACGTAAATGAAAAATCTTTAAAGGAATTCTTAAAAAAATAATATCTTAACTTTAATTTATTACTTATCGACGACGGCGTAATGATAATAAACGAAGCTACTTTTTTATAAGACTCTTATTTTTTTAATGATCGATGAACCTTGTATCCCATTCCTCTTCTCGATTTGGATTAAGAAAATTGATCGCCAGCCGCCATGAAAATTGTCGCTTTCTCCGCGACATCTGCGTTTAAACTCTTAGAAATTCGTGACCGTGCATTCGTTTGCTGTCGCTTTCTTCGACGGTGAATGCCGTAGTAAATTTACAAATGAAATGAGAAGGTATGTGTTTGAATATCAAAAGAAAACTATTCCTATTAAATTATGGAAGTCGAAATAATTCACTTTTTCTTTTTTAATTTACTATTTTTATATTATATTATGCTCTCGTTACCGCGACTTATAAGATCTATTGTAACTTTAGCCCTCCAAAGGTTTAGGGCAAATGTAGGTCCTTAATGAACCTTAGTATTGTCCTGAGGTCTTGAACCTTTATGTCTGGGGAGTTTTACCGAAGACGTTGTGCCTCTGGCGACGCAATTGCACAGTATATGTTCAGCAGTTTCTGACTCGTCGTTGCATAGTCGACAAGTTTGATCCTCAGCTTGTCCAATGTGGAAGAGGTGGTATTTTAGGGGCACATGGCCGGTTAGGTAGCCTGAGAGCGTTCTTAGATCCCCTTTGCTGAGGCATAAAACCTCTTTGGTTTTGTTTTGCGACGGAGTTATCATACTCTTCGCTTGTCTGTGACCTGGAAGTTCTTTCCAGCGTAAGGCTATCTTTGAAGCCTCCCAGTTGTTGATTATTTGTTTTAGGTGGCTTTTTTGTAGTCCACATCCAGGTTGGGGTCCAATGAAGGGCGTGTTTGCTGCCTCTTTGGCCAGCTTGTCGGCCTTCTCATTGCCCTCAATGTTGCTGTGACCTGGAACCCACCATAGGGTAACATCATTGCCCCTAGCGAGTTCTCTCAGGTTGTTGGTGCACTCTCTGATCAGTGCGGAGCCACACGTGTAGGCCTGAATTGCCTTTAAGGCGGCCCGACTGTCTGTGAAAATGTTTATGGATGCACCTTTTTGTCCCTTCTGTAGGTTCAAAGCGGTGCAGAAGTTTATAGCAAGAACTTCTGCTTGGAAAATTGTTAAGTCCGAGCTGAGGGGCAATTTGATGTGGCTATTTGGTCCACTGATGCCCATGCCTACTCCAGATCTTACTGTCTTTGAAGCATCGGTGTACCAGGCTAGGGCTCCTCTTTTTAGTTGAGGCCCTCCTTTCGCCCAATCATCCCTGCTACTAAATATGACCTTATACGGTTGGTTGAAATTGTATTCCGTCGGTATAAGGTCCGTTTTAATTTCAATCAGGTGATTTAGACATGGGTCTTTGAGGATCTCGAGGTGTCCTCTGAGATTACCCTGCATCAACTTGAGTGAAGAAACTGTTTTCAGTGATAAGGCACTTAAGGCTGCCTCCTTTTGTATATATATGTGGAGCGGTGTGAGACCAAGTAGGGCTTCCAAAGCAGCCGTCGGACAGGATCTCATTGCACCCGTTATGTTAAGACATGCTAACCGCTGGATTTGTGCCAGCTGTTGTTGAGCTGTCTTATGTTTTGTTTTTGGCCACCAAACCAATGAGGCGTAGGCGACCATGGGTCTGATTATTGCTACGTAGGCCCAATGAGCCATTCGTGGTTTGAGACCCCAGTTCCTTCCTAGGAGCCTGCGGCAGATCTGGTTTGCCATGATGGCCTTTTTCCTCACCTTATCTAAGTGTGAGTTCCAGTTTAGTTTACTGTCAAGTATTACCCCTAGGTATTTAGTTTCTGTTTTGAGGTTAATAGTTCTGCTTTCAATGGAGGGTGCTTTTATTTGTAGCTTCCTTCTCCGAGTGAAAGGGACTATTTCGATTTTATTGGGATTGATGCTGAGCCCATTGCTTCTGCACCAAGTACTGGTGAGTAGTAGGGCTTTCTGCATTAGCTGAGTTATGATTGAATCATATTTACCTCGGATTGTGATTACCAGGTCATCAGCATACCCTTGTATCTTAAATCCGTTTTTAGTTAGGGTGTTCATCAAGTCATCAACTACCAGGCACCATAATAGAGGTGATAGCACTCCCCCTTGGGGACATCCTCTTAGCGCCTTTATAGTCAGCGACTCGCCTCCCAGACTGGCTGTGATCTGCCGACTTTTCAACATGGCTATACACCACTTGATTGTCGACGGATGTATGTCTTTTACGTTTAAAGCCTTCTCTATGGATTCATATGAGGTGTTATCAAACGCACCCTCTATATCTATGAAAGCACAAAGGGCTATCTCTTTGGTTGCAATTGCCTCCTCTAAGGTGCTAGTCAAAGCATGGAGAGCGGTAATTGTTGATTTTGCTTTCTGGTAAGCATGTTGGCTAGGGTGGAGTGGATTTGTGAGAAGCACTCCATTCCTTAGGTATTGATCGATTACCTTTTCCATCCCTTTGAGGAGAAATGAAGTTAGGCTAATTGGTCTGTACGCCTTGGGGTCCGCGTTTGAACGCCTACCACCTTTAGGTATGACAAAGGCTTATTGGTGTGTGTCAAAATGTTTCTAATCGATTCAAAACATTATCAGATTATTTAATAATAACCATACAAGTCGGTTAAATTAAAGGGAACGTTTTCCAGAAAATTTAAAAACCTTGAAACAGTAAAAAAGCTGATTGGTATGAATCAAAATGCTTCTGATCTATTAAAGGCATCCTTTTAACACTCAACGAGTATGAAGCATTAATTAGAAACAATTAATTAGTGATTTTTTCGGTAATTAATAATCGAAAGTGATAACAGCGACAGTTGTTATGTTAAAAAATAAGGAATATGAATAAAATAAAGTATGACTCATTACACTTTATTATTTAAATATTTTTAATATTCACAACAATATCTTTACAGGTATAATATTTTTTTATATAAGTCTCTAAAATCTTTTTCTTCTCTAACAGTCATTAATTACATGGCAACAACTTAGTAATAAATAGCTCTTTGTAGGATTACTTTACACACGTACTTCTTCTTATTTAGTTTAATAAATATTAGGTTTTAATAATAAATAACAGAAAATAAACCGTTCTATTTTTTTTTTTTTAAGTTTTTCTTCGAAGACTCGTAGTTTAACATGGATGTAGGTCGCATTTATTTACAATATAACAAAGAAACGTTGTTAAGAAGCATGATTTTGAAACAAATTCATTCGCCTAGTTTCATTTAATTGGGAGTACAACTATTTTTCTCGAGAAATATCAGAGATTTGTATTGTCAGTTGGATTTTTTGCGCAACTCTCGATAAACACAAAGTAATTATTTCCTTTTTTACTGTTTTAGGATAATTTGTAAATTAACTATAAGCCACATAGATTTTTTTATTCTTTTAGTCTTAAGATAATCTCAAAAATGATATGTATCTGATATGTATCGGTTTTACGATCATTTTTTTTTGTTTTTAATACTGTTTACATATATACACATACAAATATACACATATAAGAAAAGGTTTTTTTCTTGACATTTCGGATTAAAGAACACGTTTATAACAACAACAACGATATGATGTGTATTATTCTTCTTTTCTCTTTCCCATACCTTTTCTAAAAGTGTAAATATCTTTTCTTATTTTCTACTTAAAATACAACTTTAGTCTCAATCGATATGTATTCGTTTCGATGATATGTAAATTTAACTCTTTTCAAAAAACTAGTAACCATAACATATGGTTTGTTTACATTTTTTTTGTGTTGTTTTCTTCATAGATTTGTGTAATTGATAGTTCTAAAGCTGGGCAACATTCTACTTTGTTGCTTTTTGGGTTGTGCCTTGGCTACAGGCTATTCTAATCAAAAACTGGTCTGAATATCATTTTTTTCCGCCAGCCCTTGTTGTAATTTTTTCACTTCCCCGGCTGGAATATCATCGTCAGCTTCCAAAGCCGGATTTATCCTACCATTTCGTTCATCTTTTCCAACCATGGTATTAGCAGCACCGTACATTTTATTCATCCCCGCCGCCATAACCGACATTTGCTCACCATCTTCTTGTAATTCACTCACCCTTTGGATATCCTCTGGAATGTTAACGACGCAATTAAAAATGTCGTAACCGGGCGCCAATGTTCCACTTTCAAATAAGATCTTAGTTCCATACGAAACGGTTATTAACGTAACTAAAGAGAAAATCATCGCCATCGTTCTAAAGGGGAATAATTGACGTTGCTCTTCATAATCGAATCCAGGGTAATAAATGAAAGGATCTAAACCCATCAAAGGTTCTCCGCCAGATATCCTCACCACAAACGCAATGATATAAGCCGCTAAACTTCCGTACGTATTGCAATAATCTTTGAAATGAACTACCATTAGTAATTGAGGAAACAAAATTACGTAAACTAGATCAGAACACATCGACCATAATCCATAAATCGATGGTATAGTTAAAGCCATAATTGTCGCCAAAACACCTACTACCAAAATCGATACTCTCATCACCCAGATTATTTCCATTTCCGACGCTCTTTGCCGAAAGATTAATTTATAAACGTTTCTGGCAAACATCGAACTCGCCGATAAAACACTTGAATCAGCCGAAGACATTACAGCGGCCGAAACGGCTCCTAATCCGAAAAACGAAACGAAATCTGGTGTTAAATATTGAAGCACCATCGGCAAAATCATACTGGTTTCTTCTACGGTTAGCGGCCAAGGTCCTTTATACTGAGTTTCATTCCAATCTTTAAGAAAAAATATTTAAGGTTTTCAATTTTTTCACCAATATTTTATATAACCATAATATTTTTTTTTAAAGGAGCATAAACACAACAATTTGTAAAAGACACTTAAATAATTGTGAATAGATAATTAGTTCTAGAAATAAAAATGGCTAATTTTTCTTGATATTGACACATCTGAGAGCAAAGAAAGCGGCCCATCTTGGTTGTTTATGAATATGTCTCGTTTCAACTTTCACAATATCTTTAATAACCTTTCTGGTTGAGAACTTTAATGTAAATTGTATTAACCCTTTGAGTCCCGACGGTACTTTAAAGTACCGGTAGTTTTAAACACTCATTTTAAACTGTAGAATTTTTAAATTAGCATCTTTTTTGACACTTTTAGGTTATACGAAAATGTAAGTTTTATTTCAACTTTTCTTTTCTCAATATTTTTCCAATCCAACCCAACGATTATTATATATCATTCAAAAAAGAAAGCTTTGAGCTTTAATTTAGAATAAGTCTCATTCCTTAATTTCAATAAATACGGCTTCCAGGAATTTTTAAATTAGCATCTTTTTTGACACTTTTAGGTTATACGAAAATGTAAGTTTTGTTTCAACATTTTTTTTCTCAATATTTTTCCAATCCAACCCAACAATTATTATACATCATTTTAAAGAGAAAGCTTTGAGCTTTAATTTAGAATAAGTCTCATTCCTTAATTTCAATAAATACGGCTTCCAGGAATTTTTAAATTAGCATCTTTTTTGACACTTTTAGGTTATACGAAAATGTAAGTTTTGTTTCAACATTTTTTTTCTCAATATTTTTCCAATCCAACCCAACAATTATTATACATCATTTTAAAGAGAAAGCTTTGAGCTTTAATTTAGAATAAGTCTCATTCCTTAATTTCAATAAATACGGCTTCCAGGAATTTTTAAATTAGCATCTTTTTTGACACTTTTAGGTTATACGAAAATGTAAGTTTTGTTTCAACATTTTTTTTCTCAATATTTTTCCAATCCAACCCAACAATTATTATACATCATTTTAAAGAGAAAGCTTTGAGCTTTAATTTAGAATAAGTCTCATTCCTTAATTTCAATAAATACGGCTTCCAGGAATTTTTAAATTAGCATCTTTTTTGACACTTTTAGGTTATACGAAAATGTAAGTTTTGTTTCAACATTTTTTTTCTCAATATTTTTCCAATCCAACCCAACAATTATTATACATCATTTTAAAGAGAAAGCTTTGAGCTTTAATTTAGAATAAGTCTCATTCCTTAATTTCAATAAATACGGCTTCCAGGAATTTTTAAATTAGCATCTTTTTTGACACTTTTAGGTTATACGAAAATGTAAGTTTTACTTCAACATTTTTTTTCTCTATATTTTTCCAATCTAACCCAACAATTATTATACATCATTTTAAAGAGAAAGCTTTGAGCTTTAATTTAAAATAAGTTTCATTTCTTAATTGCAATAAAGACGGCTTCCAGAAATTTTTGAATTATGCGAAAATAGGGGGATTGCATATTTTGCTAAAATTGATTCCAAAGGCCTTTACTGAGTGGTGTATTTTGATAGCGTTTTAATTCTGTCACAAAGGTTCAAAATTTTTTACTTCTTGGGACACAAAGGGTTAATTTTGTTAGTGTTGTGCTTACACTTCATTCAAAAAAAATAATATTTTTGTTAAAAGCAACTTACTAGTTGATTTGGCTATAGCACCAATTAAAACCGGTGGTATGGCCATTAAAATACATCCAAAAGCTGCGACGTAAGATAAAATTTGTGCGCGACCAGCCGATTTGCTCGATAAAACTCTTTGGAAGTAAACCTGCCAGGGGATACCCCCGAAAACTAACAACAACCCATAATCGATATAATACCACAGCTCTTTTGAATCAACGGAACCAATCCAATCAACGTCCATCGATGATAACGGCTTGACGTGTTCGTTCATCCACGCAAATGGAATACACATCCATAATCCGATAAATATACAAAATAATTGAATGACGTCTGTGTAAGCAACGCTATACAATCCGCCAAATAACGTATAAAAAACTGCGATGCACGAGCTGAAAATAACACTCGTTCGATGATCCATGTCGATGATGACGCTCAATGTGGCTCCCAAGGCGGCTAAAATCCCCGCGGCCCAGAAAACTTCACCACATAACGCTGGAAGGAAGAGTAATCCACCCATTCGACTCCCAAAACTGTCTTGGAGCGGATCCAACATCGTGATGTAACCTTGTTGTCTCATCTTATTGGCGAAAAAAATCCCTCCGAAGACTAAACTTAAAGAGTAGCCGAATGGAGCTTGGCACCAAACTAAACCATACCTGAAAATTGCTTCTGCAGTACCATTTATGTATCCACCACCAACCCAAGTTGCTATAAAAAAATTCATTAATAACAATTAGTTTTGAGTATTAAATAAAATTCATTTCAAAACTAATCGATTTAATGCTTCAAATCGTTCAATAACTCACCGGTCATAGTAAAAATCCCAACGAAAAGGCCAATATTTCTCCCGGCCAACATGACCTCTTCTTCAGAATCATTACCACTCTCCTTTTTTCGGCCAGCCCAAATCCCAACTCCCAAAATTAATATGTAGAAAAGTATAATCGAAATAACTCCAGCTATATTTATCATTTTGACTTTTTAATTGATTCAAAATCGAATTGATTTAAAACTTAATTGATTCAAAACTTAATTTTTGCAAACTTAATTTTAACTTCTTGATCCCGATGATTTAAAACGAAAATTGTTAGACAACAGTCGCCCCACCTGAGTGAAGTTTTCTGCGACGGACTGTTTCTGGTCCTAAAAGCTAACCCGCACATGGACGACAACTTCTTATCGACATTTATCGAGGGGGATGATCACCACGATACCACGAGACCAAACAAGGACCGGGATCTGAACGTAGACAACTTCCTTCTGTGAAGTACCGTTTTCAGACTGGCCCCCGCTTCCGAATCCTGAGGTTGTATCGATCGTCGGGAAAACTGGTGACGTCAAACGGGGCCCAACAGACCCTATTGGGTCGTCCCGTGACCTCTGACCGGATCCAAAAGGCGCATGAGTCGATTTCCACGAAATCGGAGGCGTATTCTCTATTTCGATAATATCCGCCCACGATAAACTCCATTTGTCGATAATGAATAAATTATTTGAGGGGGAAAATAAATAAAAATTACTTTTATAATAATATTCAAAATTTTTAGTGAATTTTTTAACTTAATTTCCTTTTTGATTATTTATGGTTTAAATAGAAAGTAGTGACATCTCTTAATACGTGTGGAAAGTTTGATTGGATTGATTGGTTGCCTAACTAAATTTGAATTAAATTTGTTTTTGTAATGATTTATTTGATAACACAATAATAAATAAACAATCAATACTGATGATTTTTCAAAATTAAAGACTTTGTTGGTTAATCCTTTTGAATGTTATTATTGCGGAGTGGTACTCTAATGATGCTATTTCTGCTAAAATTTGTTAAGCCAACAACTGGGGATTTTACAATTGTTTCCTAAAATCAAAAAAGAAATGATTTTTTATTTTAATTTGAAGTATATGTTATTAAACCTTGTTAATAATGGGATTTCTGGTGTTAATACATTTGCAGGAACAACTTTTCTTTTTTGGGTTAGTATTTTTTCGATTTTTTTTCTTGTTAGATTTTCTTTTATTACCAACCTCGTCCACGAAATGTCTTCGATAATTATTTCCGTTTTTTAAAGATTCATCTTTTTGCATATTCCTCGAAACTTCATCCGAATACGAAGGGATCTCTTCAATAAAACCCTTCGGAGTTGTTGGGGATTGCTTCATAATGGAATCTCTATATTTAAAATCATTTAAAACTTAAAAATTATTTAGTTATTTTTTTTTTCTTACATATTAGATTGGCTACAATAACTTTTAACCAAATCATATTCGGAACACCTTTGAAAACAACATTCTTTAACTATCCCAGTGTAGCCAACTACGTAATCCAAAGCTTTTTCTTCTAAAATAAGAACAATTTAAATACAATTTTTTAAGGTTTTGTGCTTACCGTGATATACACAATTATATTTCATTAAAGTATCGCCTAAGACTGATCCGCAGAAATATCTCGGTTGATGCACGTTCATTGCTTCGGTGTAAATGATGAAACATACCATCTTGATCATAATAATCGCCTTTTGATCCATTTATTTGGGTTTGATTCGGAGTCTAAACGCAAATAAACCAAGTCAAAGAAGAATTTTCGTTTTATATACTTTTTGGGTAGTAACTGATACCCGGATAAGGTTACTGGTTGTAAGAATTGGTTTTTGAGGGTTGATTTAACCGTGAAATTAGAAAATATTTTTTTGTTAATCGAATATTAAATTTATTGATTTAATTTGATCGAAAACCAAATTAAAATTACTTACATATTTTTATTTAAGAAAGATAACTTCAAATTATGACTTAATTAAAAAAATTTATACACATAATTAGACGAAAGGAAATTTTCAGTCAAAACACTAGAAAGGAGATCTTTCGAAATCATATTTTATAGACAGATCTGCATTTATTAATACTTTCTTATCTAATAAACCAAAATGAATTCCGATAAAAGTAAAAAAGGTAGAGTAAAAAAAATTCGGTAAGGATAACAACTGGGAGAGTACACTTTAAACTGGCACAAACAACAAACTGAACACAAAACGGAGTTTTAATCTTTACTCTTCGTCCTCTTCGCGATTCCATCTCTAAAAATTAATAATAAAATAATAAAGGATTTTAGTTATTAAAAAAATAAATAAAAAGGTTTCACAATATACCTAAATTTAAGAAAAAAAATTTGACATCTAATAATTATTTTATACAAGACTTTTTTATTATTGTTATATGTAATCTTCAGAAGTTATTTACGGGATTCGTAAACATTGAGAACGTTTCCAAGAACGCTATTGATTACAATACTCAGCAATTTTTTTTTACTTTATGGAATCCCTTATCATAAGTTCGTCTCTTTTTGAAAACGTGGCAACTAGACGGCGGGAGAGATATCTTACAGAGTCGTGTTCCTCCTGAATGCAAATAATTAAACGTGGGTTAAGGAGGTTATCGATTAAAGAATATAAAAGAAACTGGACGCATGTGTGATAAATAAAATTCCATTTTATCGTTTTACCTGAATTAAAATTAACAAGAAATCAAATAAAAATTGGGAAAAAAATATATATGGGAATTAAGAATAAAAGAATTAACACCATAAAATTGCATTAAAAAAATAAAATCGTGATGATTTTGTAATTTTTAAAAATTTGTAGAAAATTTATTTTGATAGATTAATACAGTTAATACGCCATCTATTATTGAAGTGATCAAATACAGTAAATAATAATAACAAGGAAACTGTTAATAAGCTTTTCGAAAATAATTTCAAAATTATATAATGTTGTGATGGATATCTGGCCATTATGCTTATAATTTCTGGTACATTTCTGAAGTGATACCCTACATTGCCATATTAATGTTTAATGTTTATTTATATGTCAAAAAAAAGTTTTTGGACAGACGTCATACAAAATATATATGTATACTTCAACAATGAGTATCTAAAACAGTAACTTAACTAATACAGTTCGGTCATACGGTGGACATTACTTAGGAATTCTTCTACCGAGTAAAAGGCCTCAGACACCAAAAAATGTTTAACACGATTTTTAAAACGCGCGGTGTTCATGTTCTTTATGCAATCCGGTAGTTTGTTATAAAGTTTTGTACCCTGGTAGTCCACACCTTGTAGAGTACACCCTTATAGAGTTTTTTTGTCGCGTATTATATTCGTGATGTACGGAGTTTATGTCATAGAGATGTGTATTATTATGTACATGGTTAACACAGGTAAGGATGTACATGCAGGGCACGGTAAGTATATCAATTTTTTTAAAATGTTCTTTACATGATTCTAAATTTTTTAGATTACACAAAGTGCGGATACAACTCTTTTGTAGCTTAAACACCCTGTTGATTCCCGGACCCGAACCCCAAATGGAGATGCCATATGAGGCCACTGCATGAAAACAAGAGAAATATGCTGTTCTTACTACTTCAGGTTCGGTACACTTCACCAATCTTCGCACCATAAAAACTGCACTCGCGAGTCTTCTACAAAGGGCACTCACATGGTCATCCCAGGTGAGACGATTGTTCAACTTCAAGCCAAGAAAGTTCACCACGTTATAGTTTCCTTTCGTGAGAAAGTTAATTTTTTGATTCTTTTGTTCATTGAGGATGAGCTTGTTCGCTCGCAACCAATCAGACGCGTCTTCTAAGACATCGTTAGTTCTCAATTGTGTTTCTTCTCTCGTTTTCCCTTTTACTACGAACGACGTATCATCCGCATATAGATACGTTTCTGAGTTTTTTATGTTTCGAGGAAGATCGTTCATATACAGTATAAATAAGATCGGTCCCAGGATTGATCCTTGGGGTACACCGTATCTATTGTTTTTCACATCGGATATTGAACCATTCCAAGCGACATATTGTGTTCTGTTACTCAGATACGATTTCATTAGACTTAGTGTTGATCCCCGTACGCCGTAAAAGGCGAGCTTATCCAGTAATAGATTATGGTCCACCGTATCAAAAGCTTTGGTGAGGTCGCAACAGGTCATTTCCACGCTTTCTCGATTGTCATGAGCTTTGATCGTCGATCTTCCGGTCCTGTAACCATGTTGGCTATCGTCAAATATTTTATTTTTTAGCAAGTAGCTGATTAGTCGGCGTTTTATTAGTTCTTCGAAGATTTT